CGTAGATATCGACACGGGAATTAGAAACGTCCGAATACTACTCAGTCTAATTACTTCCCCCAACCCATTGTTATAGGTAAAATCGTCGATTACGCCTAATCACGATCAACCCGTGACAGTATCGTGATTAGCTGTGATACAGGATCAGGATGATAAATTTGTGGTGGTGATTGTGAATCGGGCAAAGGCCAAAATGGTACTTTTACCTCTTCCTCTTTAATATTAATAGCGGTATAGATATTATTGATGATGTCATCGTTTGGTAACTGCGAATAGTTGTACGAATACTTCGGACACTTTATCGTCATTTGTCGATTCAATTGTCTGGTAAATTCATGTTGACAAGCCGCCATTTTTGTGATTGCTTGCGCTAACTGAAATTCTAAAAATGATCGAGTAGTAGAGGAGTTGGGTGTATCGTTACGTAGATTTGTTTTCTCTACCAAAGAAATGTGTACTTCCTATCAACATATGTAGAATAAAGAATTCTGAAGAGAACTATTTATTATAATATAAATAAAAAGTCGAAGCATCGTACACAAACAGCACAATGGTCACCCAAACTTGCACATGAAGATTCCGTAACATTAAAATGAATGTAGGCTATGAAACTTAGAGAAAATATGCCGGTTTACAATATGAAAACGTGAAACATATAAAGACCGATACCACCAATATTCAGTACCAACAAAATGTGTCTTGTCCGTTAACGATTAATGAAATTAAACAAATAATGCTGGAAATTTTCTTACTGGCATTTATACAGTATTTTGTTTTTTCTCTTACTTATATATTCATAGCCAACAATTAACATTGATATTTTACTTTAGACTTCAAATTCGTTTTGCTATATCCCGTCATTTACAAGAAATCCATCAAATTTTTGGCACAGGTCCAAACGCAATAACCTACGAATTCCTTGACGGACTAATTTACACCGAAGCGATAAAAAAGAAGCAGCACGCCTCACACCAGTCGTACCCCTCTTGTTCAAAGAATTAAATCGTGACGATCGGCGGCTTAAAATTCAAATCTGGGACAAAGTTTTGTGCACATCAACATGGAATCCAACTAAACACACGATATTGGAAAGACCCTGAGAAATTTATCCCGGAGCGATTTGTAAAAGATATTGAATTTAAGGAAAAGAATGCGTTTATTCCGTTTGGTGGTGGTCTTCGTAAATGTCCTGGGAGACATCTCGCTGTGGTAGAATTGAAAATTTTAACAGTATTATTGTTTGGCAAATATGATGTCCAATTGGTGGATTCTAAGTCTCCGTTAAACTGTTCTTTTGCGGCAGTTAATTCTTGTAATTAATTGAAGGTTATAATTCGGCCAAAAAATTAGTTTTTTGTTTTAAATCATTTTGGGTCAAAAGGACTTATTATATCGAATATCGTAGATTCAATGACTACGAAACATAGTGGATTGCATAACCAATGTCGAATACATTATTTTTTATTTAATATGTTAATACATGTATACTGTTAGGTTTTGCATTAGTGATAGAGATATTGATAGAATTGTGGTATCTAGTAAATTTAAATTAATCTATTATCTTTCATTCGAAAACATTTCTTCGAAGAAAGATTGTTCCTATATTCGAATTTATGTGGGTTATTCACATTTTATTATCATTAATTTTGACTTTATCCATTTCTACAGTCAAACCTCTATATACAGATGCCTCTATATAACGATATTTTGAAAATATCGCTTTAAAAAGGGTGTTTTAGAGTACTTACTACAGTTATATGATATAAAAAACATTGCTATCTCTCTATACCGATATTTTCTGAATCCCGATACATCGGTATATAGAGGTTTGACTGTAATACATGTACTAACGTTGAAGGTGTATTTGCAACATAATATAGTAATAGAACAAACTGTGTACACTTAATAATCTTATTATCATTGTATTTCTTTAAATGGCGCCTCTTTGAAATTACATGTATTTAGTTTAAAAAAATGCATTGGTTAAAATTATTATTAATTCATAGTTACGTATTTGAGAACATAAATACAGATCAGATTTCCATAGTTCATAATTTTTGTGATAAAAAAATTGACTTAGAATTCTATTTAATTTAATTACGTACGTATAATTACGTATACTTTTGGTATACTAGTTCCTAATACAGAAATTTTTTTCTTGATCTTTATTTTATATATTATGCTATACGTACTATTTTCATGCACGAATTATTTATATAAAAAAAGAAGTTTAGTGTTTTTACATGGAATTAAATAAAAAAAGTTTCATCAAAAGAACAATATACATGTACAATATAGATAAAATATTTTAAACAATATAAGTAAGATTTAAAATATAATTATAAAAATAATTTTGAATGTAATACATGTAGTTAATAATATACATTATACCATATTACGAACTTCAATAAAAATACATATACATTATTTATAAGCTGTTAGTGATATGTTTGCAAAAAATATACATTTAAATTTTTTCCTTTTCAGTATGGTGAGAATCGATTCACTGGAAACTAAAATTGAGAAAATTGATTCTTATGTGCATAACTTCTAAAGTAGTCAAACATTTGTATTTTGTTAAATGGATAAACTTCTCTAATAAAGAGTAAACATAAAATTTAATCCGTGAATTTGCTCAAAACGGGCCTATTTACTTCTTAGTAAAGAAGTTTATCCATTTTATATAATACAACCGTTTGATGATTTAAATGTTATACATCATAGAACCGACTTTGCTCTTCAAGCTCAAATAATGTCAATAAACATTATTAACAAAAAGTTTTCGATTACTTAGTAAAAATAATAATAGGTAGTGTAGTGTCATCGTAATTCGTACTCAAAATTAATTAAAAATATTCGATTATTTGATTGACAGAATTCAATATCAATATATTTTGGAGATAACCGATTTCTATCCTTAGCTTAAATTACTTATTCAAAAAATTATCAATAAGCATTTTTCTATATATCTGTTTTAAAAATTCAATAATGTTATACTAATACTTCTTATATTTATAATTTACTAAATTCTTTAAGAAGTCGTGCAAGTTTATAAATTTAACAATCAACAATATTCCAATATCATAAAGAATTTTGATTTATAATATTTTACAATGTTATAATAAATTATATTATATTAAAATTATATTTTCTCATTTAGAAATTATAACAGAAATCATGACTCATACAAATTGTTTAAATTTCGATACAAATATTTAAGTTATTTACAAATAATATTTCAGTTAGAATTTTCATTGAAAAATAATTTTCTCATACATAAAATAATTAGACACTTAGTTTAATATCTGAATATTTAATAACATATTTAAATTGAAAATTATATTGTTCATTAAATATTTTTCTTATTCAGCTAGTGCACATAATATTTATATTTGCTAAGAATATAATTATGAGCATCGATTTATGAGTTAGATCTCTAATATTAAAATACAAAATTAAATATTTGTATTTCAACAAAAGCCTTGCCTTGTTAATAAAAGACATTCAGATTTTTATTAAGTTTATATCAAATTATTTCAAACAAATGCAAAAAATTGCCAACATCAATTAAAACATTATACATTCTAAGTTTATATTATATTAATTTTTGTATTAGAAAAGCAACTAAGATTCGTTCATATTAATATACAATTATAAGCATGTTTGATATTGAAATCGAGAATAGAGTTTATAATAATATTCAGTTTATTTTGTATTCGATTAACTTTATTTTTTATTATCAATTATACAAAAAATCCATTAATTTTCTTTGCAATCTCAATTAAACTGACTTAAAGTGAACTGGATTAAATTAATCTAATTATCTGAATTAAATAATTTAATTTTTAAACTGAATTGAATCGAATTAATCTATACAAATTTAAGATTTTTACAATAATATGCACACATTTATTTAAGTAAAAAAAATTATAGTTTATTTATTTCGTATTTATATAATTTAATAAGTTTACAACAATAAACATAAGCTTAATTAATAAAGTAAAAAAAATTTATTGTTTATTTGTTTAGGTTTTGTACTTTGTCGTCATGGTGTTGTAACGCGGGACCCTAACCCTATACTCTTAGTAAATGGGACCATGGCGCATAACGCACATGCGATAAAATATGAAGATCTATTTGTTTTGTATTTATATAAATTTAATATGTTTAAAACAATAAGCATACAAGCTTTTAATTTAAGTAAAAATAGACTTAATTATTTTGAGATAATTGTAATAATCCAAATAAAAATTTCTTAACTTGTTTACTGTTAAAATTTTATTAAGGAATAGTTTTCTAATTTTATAATATTTAGAATTAACGTTTAATACAATACAATTAAAAAAAAAGATTATAGCTTGTATAAAAATTTTGCTCATTTTAAAGAATTTTATAGTTTTCATCCATTAAAACAATTGATACTTTAGTAATTTTTATTAGATTATAAAAATACAGTGAGTTTCAGACTAATTATTAATTACAAAGAAAAAATTTAATGTATTAAAAAATATACTCAGTCAAAATACAAGAGAAACATTAACAAATCACGCGATAATGTTGGATTCATCAAGTTTACTTTAATATTCAATGAAAGTATTTATTTAGTGATATGTTGATTTTTCAAATTCAAATGAAATCTAATTATAATAGCATTTACAATTTACTGTTATCACTTTAATAATATATTTCACTTTTCAAGAGTCACAGATTCAAAATGATTTAAAACAATACACGCAGTATTTCTACGATTAATTTTATAGATAAATAATCAATTCTTTGCATACGATGTTGGTTGCTTTGGAAGGATCCTTTTATATTTTGAAAATCCTTTTGACATATTTTTCAAAACTACTTTTGAGGAAAAACAATATTTTAAAGATAGCAGTTTCAATAAAAATTTCGTCTTCATATATCTGCAAAACACTTTTTATTATGTAAAATCTAACATAGAATGAATAATTGTAAGATTCTGATGATTATGCTTGAATATTGTTCGTTAGGTGAAGAAGACACTTGCTATTTCCAATAAAACCAAAAAATTAAAGATAACGTTGTTATCGTTATTACCAAAAATTTGATCCAAGATTCGTCTGCAGATCTTTGATCACAGTTTTACGTACTGATAGAAAATACGTAATGAAAGTGATATAATTGCATTAAAATTTTGTGAGATTCACTGATTGAAAAAAAGACGTTCATTTTTTCATATATAATATTTTTATTAAAAAAAACGAATCATCAAGTTTCAAATATTCTATCTAAAAAGTTTTCTGTTGAAATTCTGGATAATCTGTCAAAAGTATTTGTGATCTCAATTTATAATTTGAGAAATTCTGACATTCACCGTACAGCG